GGGGGGGGGGGGGTGTGTGTGTGTGTGACAAAGACAAGAAAAAGAGATAGCAGGACCTAGATTCTTTAGTGAACACTGTAAGAGCAACGACTATTTTTTCTACGTTAGTCTAAAGTATGATTTTTTTTTTTTTATTTTCTATTCATGGTAAAAAAAAACTACGAGTTGCAAAGAGCGATTATCCAATGGTTCCCGTTCGAATTCCATGCTCCTTATTTTCTTTTACTTTTTTACTTCTCAAATGTTCAAACAGACGTATTCCTTTTAAAGAAAACCTTACGTTAGGTTTTAACTTGACCTTCTCCTCCTCCTTTCAACTGCCTCACGTCATTTCGTCGCTCCTCTGACGTAAGGGCGCATCTCAATTTCCGCACATGAGCCCTGTTCTCCGTATAACTCTATGCTTTCTGCGGCTCATGTCAAAATGGAGATATACCCTTCAGTGGCGTTGCGTGCTTTGCGATGTATCGATCGATACGCCACTCAAACCTATGAAAAAAGATCGATCATTAGGGTGTTCGCAGCGGACACCTTAGTAATCGATCCTTTACCATAGCCTCAAATTGCGAGATATCGATAATCAATCATTCATGCCACGCCACTGGCTTACGTCAGAGGAGCCACGATTTATGGACGGTCCCGATCCAGCTCGAAGGAGGCAACACTAAAATTTACTGCTTCTCTATTTTTCAGGCAAGCAACCACGACAATTCGCGTCTTGCGAGTAGGGTGGATTCGGAGTTCGCAGAGGCTATGCTCATGGTTCAGTTACTGCTGCCCGGGGTAGGCGGAATCTACTACGGAGAGGAGATCCGCATGCGGGATATCTACGTTCGCCCCGATCAAAAGAAAGATTTAACTTTTACAAACCATCCTGCATGGGGCCACCTCACCCGTGACCTATGCAGAGGGCCCATGCAGTGGGATCAGTCCATCAATGCAGGTCCGCCTTTCAATTTTTTATAACATATACTAAGTATTGTTCTATGCATATAAAATGTTATAAACGAGAAAAAGACACTGAAAAGTGGCCCGAAACTGTTACGTAACACGGCGGAGAAATGGTGCTAGGTCCGCACCATTTCGCGGGGAAATAAAAGCCGAGAAATTCCAAAAATTACATTTAGAGTCAAAATATTTTTAACTCGCTAATTGTGTTCCTTGGAATTTCTCGGATTCGATTTCCTCGCGAAATGGTGTGGACCCAGCACCATTTCTCCACCTTGTTAAAATATTACAATTAAGTCAATTTTATATAATAACTAGGTAGCAGATTGGAGTCGGAATAATTTTGATCAACTCCTCACTACAATTGCTAAGCATGTACCGAGTTTAAAGGAAATCGCTTCGGCCAATTTTTCTCTAGGTATGGGGCAGAGTGAGCCGGTAAGGCAGCTTTATATAGAGCAATAACAAGTCAGCGATGAATGATCGAAACACGATTCAGTGCACACAAACGCATGACATATGCATTTGATCCATTCGCAAAAAGCGTTCATAAGCATATTATTATCCTTTCCAGCAGGATTTTCAACGAGTAAAACGCCATGGCTGCCTGTAAATGCGGATTATTGGCGAAACAACGTAGCAAACCAACTTGCGGACCCTAGGAGCACGCTGAACACTGTCAAACGACTTTTGAGATTGAAAAAGTCACCTGTAATCGAATCTGGCAAGTTGAAAACGTGCAAAGTGTCAAAATGGCTGTACATGTTTACTAGGTAGGTGGCCTCTCCTCTATGTATCTTATTGTTCTTTTGCGACACGACGCGCGACGGTAAAAACCAGAGGAACTGTACTCTAGAATACCTGTATAGCGAGAGTATGGACAGATCGCTTCATGGAGGTCTTCAGGGTCCAAAAGTGCAGCCATCCCTCTAACCAATTTTCTACCACACAAAGTTTCACTGTCCATCTGCAGAGTCTGCAAATTCCAATTCTAACCAAGATGGCCAAGAATGTACAGAAATGAGCGTTCTTCCGCAAAAATGAGTAATTTTATGCAAAAACTGACAATGAATCAAATACGTGCTTTATAAACGACGGTTCGTAACAATAGTATTAGTAAATCGTTCTGGATGATTGAAAATCATGGGTTGGCTGCATTTCTGGGCCCTAACTTTTTTTGCAGAACCATCGGTGAGGGCCTGATGGATTTTCGGAGTTTCACATCTGTCCACCCTGGTAAAAATTGGCAGTAGAATGTGTGTTCCAAAATACTATAGACCTAAAGCCGACTGTAAGATTTCCAATAGCTTCTGTAGCCGGATGTACAATTTCGTATGGCCTTTTATAGCCGATGGCGATTAAGCAACAGCCAGACGAAAAAGTTTATGCTGAAGGTTACTAAATACGGATACTAGGACTTAGTAAGTTTTTGGACTACCGCTCTCTTTTTGTGCCGTAGTATCTTGATTTATTTTGCGAGGAAAGCTCCGTACTTTTGAAGGATGCCTTTCATTCCTAATATGTTGGAGCGCCTTCAATTTCGTACGATACTGTGCAATACCTCTGGTGTGAAATAGTTGCTTCAAGCGCCGTGGTACGCTGTGGCGCGGCGCGGCGGGCGGGCAGCCAGCGCAAAACGAGCGTTGGCGCCTACAAACCTAACAGGGATACTTCACGCATTGCGCAATGCGTGAAGTATCCCTGTTAGGTTTGTAGGCGCCAGTGCGTCGCCGCGCCGCGCCGCTCCGCTTTGTGTTAGGCTCTAATATTTGATCTCGCGGAGTCAGCGTTTTTCAACTCATGATTTTGAAATGTTTACACACTCTGTATGGACTATTCTCATTTTAATTGATGATAAAAAAAATGTTTTAAAGGAAAATATAATGTGTGTTTTGTAAATATAAAGGTAGTTCCGTATCAAACTTAATGATTCCCAAAGCACACGAATTTCTACACAATTTCTTATAGCCTTTTATAGCCAATGGCGATAAAGTGTAAAGCCCGGAGACAGGAACTATAGCCCGACTGTATACTTTTTTATAGCTTCGTATAGCCCGGCTATATGATTTGCTCCGCTTTCTACAGCCAGCTATATGATTTTTAATAGCCTTCTTTAGTCAGCTGTAAGAACTCATATGGTATTTTGAAACGCAGCTCCTATCGCCAATTTTTACCAGGGCATGCTCTCGCTATACAGGTACTCTACTGTACTTCGTCTAATCTAAGGATGCGATGTTGTCATGTCAGCTTCCTTCTCGATATGTTTTGAGAAAGTTCCTACGAGCGACCGATCTTCATTTGTCAACGGCGATTTTGTAAGTTGGTAACACTAGCTGTTTCCCACCGTTAAAATGTATGTAAAATAATCGATTTAAATTGAGGAAAAACAGTGTTGCCAAATTTTAGGAATCGTCATTGTCATGTTTGAAGCCTCCAGAGACTTTTCTTCGACGTTAAGAAAATAGGTACTCTAGGAGAGAAGAAAAGTCTCCAGAAATAATGAGTATACTTGGCTAATTATTTTCTTGGATGTATATTTAAAAGTACGCATTTCTGAAGAGAAAAGGCGACTCGTTAAGAGGAAAACATTACCTACTTACCTGCTGGCCGAAGAATTGATTATATTTCCTATGTCGACCGATTTGACCTACGTTGAGTTTAGGTTTTTCAATTGGGGGAAGTTTGAATGTACTGCGACACATACGTAGACTGTAAAAACCATTTTCTCACACATAACTTGATTCCAAATTCAAATTCTTTGAATGAGTTGAACGTGCTCTGCGTGAAATTCTAGGAGAAAAACTATCTTGCAAAGTAGTTTTTACCCTGTCAAAAAAAATGTATGAGACGAGAAATCCATAACGATGCAAATCGAGATTTTCTAAAATTTCGAAACGAAGCGATCGCATCGCGTATATAGCTCTTGTGTGCTGGAGAAAACCCCCAATGAGCGCCTTCATATAATCATGTATGCAACATGTGCGTCCCTGGGGCAGAAATAGTTGCATCGAGGTGTTAAGGTCAAGTTACACGATCAAATTGAGCCATCAAATTGAGCCTCTCATGGGTCGCATTCTGACAAATGAGAGGCCCAATTTGATGGCTCAATTTGATCGTGTAATTGGACCTTTCAGGACTCGACGACATCGATCTGCCTGGGTGCTTAGAGACAGATTGGGAGTGCGTCACGATTTTCCTTGTTGTGCATAAATGAAAATTGGTATATTTTAATTCTTCTTGTTTTGGTCTTTAAAAGGGATTTAGAAGGCGAGCCACCGGTTGTAGTGATTATTAACCTTGGAACTGAGGTGGAACCCATGTGCCTGAATGAATGCAATCATTCTTTACACGGGATAATGGAAGTTCACACGGCCAGTCCAAATTCCGGTTTCAGCATTGGGTGAGAATTATTATGCGTGTTGTGATTTAAAACATCAGGGTGCTCAATGAAAAGGGTTTAAAAAGTCTACTTACATTACAATTTTTCTTAAGAGTATGAGACCTCACTTTCGGATATATTTTGAAATAATACACGAGCTAATTGGAACTAACTCTTGTACAAATCAAAGATTTAAGTTTTGCAAAGATGAATACCTTCTCAGTGGCTTGTTTTCAGACTTCACCTTTTTAAAACGCTGCTTCATCTGTAAGATGGGATAAGACACTTCCAGAAAATTTAAAATACCTACTACTCAAAATAAATTCGAAGCTACAAGTGTATAAGAGTAAGACGTTACTCAAGAGGCTTGCTGACTTTGAGAAATCGTTAGAACGGGGGATGTCGCAGATGAATTGAACTGTGCGAAAATTCTTGTATTTAGAGAGACACCGTGATAGAAGCTGAAAATGTATTGACCGCTTAAAACCTTAAGTGTTTCAACAATTTTAACTAATCTCTCAGTTTTTTTCCCCGAACTTCTTAGTCCATGATACATTTCCTTTCCTATGACGTATGCTGCAAAACCAAATTCAAGCCACCTTTCACGTTTCAGAGATCCGGTTGAAATTCTGAGCGGCAATTTATCACAATGCTCTGCCCTCCGTCCAAAAGCAGGGGTTGTTTTGACTTCGCCTGGCGCTTTTTCCGCCGGCCACGAGACACGCGCAGCACCTTCCCTGTTGATTCCATTAATATCGTTATCGTGCATAGTCAGTCTTAGTTATATATTCAAAGTGCAATGAAGTTGATTGACGTCTATTCTGCCGTCTTTAGGAAAAACGCCGTGTGAACATTCGAGAGCTGCCAAATTTCCCCTCTTAAATATCAATTTTTGAGACAAATAATGGATATTTCTGCTTGAAATTCTCTGATACTTTACGGGAATATTGCGAAGAAAATTCACTGGAAAATTGGACTGAAAATGTTTACAAATCTCTTGAAAATTCGTATTTTACCAAAAAAAAATTGGCAACGCACGAAGGTTCATTCGGCAGTCTTCCTTAGTATGGCAACATTTTTTACAGCTATTTTTTTAAGTTTGTTTTCCTCTCTCATTTTATTTTTACGATTAAATTTGTTGGTTTGGTCAGCAAACTTTGTTTTCATTTTTTTGTGTGTGGGTTTAAATAAGACCCGTACCACACGATCAAAGTATAGAGCCCTCAAAAAGGCTCATCGATGGCATTGTTGACTGTTATAACCTCTCAAAGATCGTCGGGCCGACACTTTTTGAGGGCAATCGATGTGCAAATCTTAGATCACGTCTTCAAATTTTCAGAGAATTTCATGCAGAACTAGTAGAGAAATTAAATAATTAGTGCCACTTAGAGAGCTCTACTTTGATCGTCAGTAGCGAGGCGTGCTTTTTTTCTTTTTCTTTTTTTTCATTGTTTCATTTTTTTATTCAAAATGATCAGGTTTACATCACCTTTGCAGACGATTTTTCGAGGATTATTTGTGTCGACTAGTGAAAATCGTGTGTAAAAACGATAATAAATGGTTTTGTCGTGGGTTTGTACCTAAACAACTAGGGACGGAAAATATCTAGGGTTTCCCAGTGTATCAGAGCGTAAAAGTGATTCATCCGAAAACAGGAATCTTGAAACATTAAACAGATCATTGTGGTTTCAAAACGGTGGGACAGTTCTGGTACTAAGCTTTGTATTTGCCGATACTTCGAGACTGATTCCATTTGCAAAAAACAATACATCTACATTTTTCGAAAATTATCACTTTAAGCTTTCAATGCACTGATGATCCATCAGTTTTCCTTCGATCACCTAGAAAAGTTCTTCATCTCTGATTTTGTGATTGATAGTTTTAAAGTTCGTACTGTCCTGGGTGTAATATCGATATAATATTCCTTTAAAGAACAGGGAGCAGTAAAGTGTTTCCTGACCCATTCAAAGAAGGGCGGGGAACACTGGAACAGTGATAGAGGGAGGTTTGGGGGAGAGAAGGTATGCAGACCATCGCTACACGAGGCTCCAAAATTCAATGATTCATTTATTTTCAGAGAAAACAAATTTCTTTTGGTCGTATTACATATGGATTGCATTTTGCAAAAAGGAACCACTAGCATTGCAATGTTGCTAAGATTGTGCAACTTCTTTTGTCTTGGAGGAAAAACCCGATTATCCATTAATAGTTTCTATTGGACAGAGTTAAGCAGAAAGGAACCAACCCACGTTTTGGAAAAAATTGAGTTATGAGTGGTTTTGAACTCAACCACTGCTCTACTGTCTATTGCCAAAAATTCAGAGTTTTTGTTGGAGCAAATTTTGCAGAAATTGAACTTGAAGTTTATCTTTTACATTGAGTCTTATGCAGGAGCCAAACTTAAAACCTCTTTCTCTCGGTTCGATCCCGATGTGGCTTGGTTCCTTTCTGTTTAACTCCGTCCTATTATACTCGCTAAAAACTATGAATTTAAGACAAAAATTACCATCTAAATTTCATAGTTTTTCACGATTTCCGCAATTTTATTGCAAAAGATGAAGTTGCACAATCTTAGCATCATTGCAATGCTAGTGGTTCCTTTTTGCAAAATGCAATCCATATTATGATTAGAATTTTATTAGAATAGAGGGAATGGGGAGTGTGTGTTACATATTGACGCTTAAACTGCAAAAAACGCGTACCTCGGTTGCAGTGTTTCAAAATCTCCGCTCCTACTTCATTCTTTAAAGAGGCCAAACGAACACCCTCGCTTGAAATTTGCACAGGTTATTCTTCACCTAGAGGAGGACTATCACCGAAATTGTCAAAAAATGAGTAATTTAGGTAGAAAATTAAGTATGACAGTCTGCAACGCCGGAAACCGAGCCACGCTTTTCTGCAGTTTTACCATTGATATGCGTATCAAAGATGTCGAATGAAAAATTTACAAGGACAGTTTGAATATAGGAAAAAGTTTGTCTATATTTGAAATTTTCGGTACAAAAATAAATAAACAATTACCTGAAAAACAGTTTACATGACAAATTGGACAAGTGGTATGCGTTTTTAAATTTCAGGATCATTTGACAAGGAAATAAATTACATAAAATTACAACAAAAATACGTTCATATTAAAATTAAATTGATCAAAATCCTCTATGGTTAGAAATCGTGAATGTATATAACACATACATATGACTCATAAATTGGATAATCTATAATCCTATGGTACAAAAAAGAAGGATGACTGAATCCCTGAGAAGAAAATGTAGAGAAACAGGGAGCCAAAAAGTCGTCCTACTTAGCACGATTCCTATCAAATTTTTGACGCAGCCGTGAGTGCTATAAAGATGAATTTAGGAACAACCACTTAAGAGCCAAACTATTAGTCTGTCTTTGCACTGGAAAACAAGGTGCTTGGCTCAAGCCTGAGGATTCTTGAATTTGCCGCCGAGAATTCGTCGTATCTTGATTCAAGCTGAATTTTTCTTGATACAAGCATAATAATGCTTGGGTTCAGCGAATAAGTAGTTTCTATTAAACAGCAAAATTCTTGATTTAAGAAAAAATACTTCTTGGCGGCAAATTTAAGATTCTTTTTTTTTTTAGTGTGTACTGAGAGTCTTGTATTGTTCTGCGCACGAGGGCCACTACTCACGTTTCTGCTAGCTAGATTGGTAGTTTAGTGGCCATCGTTAAATAAAAACAGCAAACCAAAATATTAAACCTGAAAGTAGGAAAAATAATTGTTTTCCCGTGGTAGAGAGGTCCTCGTGTCGTCCTCTATCCCGCTATCCTAATCAAAGGGCACGAAGTATAGTTGTCTGCCCGCAATGACGGTCCAACCCTCTATTCTTTACTATTTTTCCCTCTCGCCGCGGAGATTTCGGCCTCCGAGGAGGAGGAGGAGGAGGAAGTGGCGGACATGGACCATCAATCCGAGTGCGCGGAAGATCGCGGGAACGTGACCGAAACCGAAAAAGAGTGCGCGGAAGCAGCGAGTCCTCCGCGGGAGGAGATGTTCGCAGCGACTCAGGCACTCCAAGACGAGGAGTTAGAATTGGCGGAAGAAAAACGAGCTTTTGCGGAGAGGAAGAAAATGGAACAGAGGTCGAGAAAGATAGACAATCATCCGATAGCGAAATTGCTTCAGGAATTAATACCCTTCGCGGACCAAGGGCCCGCGACAGGATTTAGAGACATTGATGGAAAAAGAGCCCTTTTGCACGACGTTTACTCAAATTGTGTTGGACGAGGCGGTGAAGAATTATGTCTGCGACTCTTGGCTCGGCTTAGAACGGGAACATACATCGTCGGAGCCCACGGAAACCATATCCACGCCTGTCACACGTGCGACTACCTCAACTCGACGTGCAGATGTTACATCACAAAGGTCATCCGCAGCCGGTTCGGAAGGTGGGTGGCTCGAACAAGGGTTAGCACTAGAAACATCACTTACCAGAGATGGCGTAATATCGCAATATATCTCTCATCAGGAACGAGGTACATCATTAAGGTTAACCACTCCGGGGGAGATTGGGTACGAGGTCGTGAAGATCGAGCTGTCGAGGATCGCCTGAACTGGTGGCGCAACGCGAGGACGAGGGCGCTCGTACACTTCAACTCGCCGCTGGATCCGGACTTGCAGACAATCAAGCGCATATTGGATCGGAAGGCGAAAGAAATATCGGAAATAGAAGGGACCGAGAAGAAGGTGGCGCGGACGACATCATCGGACAACAAAGCGGACAGAGGCAACAGAGGCAACACAAAGGGGAGACAATCCTAGGAATGATCATGAGCTCGGCGGTGACACCTCTCGCAAGATTTTTCGACAGCCACTTGTGGCTGGAATCCAGTTACAAATGGATGCCAACGGACCAAAAATCATTAAGGCAAGCATTAAAATTAGCACAATATCAAATTTCAAAAATGTCAATAATAAAAATATTTAATCACGTTAACCGTATAGACACGGATAAGCTTCTCTTTGCGAGTGATACTCCATCAGAGTATTACTTTAACATCTTAAAATCTTATGAAATATGTTTGGACCTCCTCACATGGCAGATGGGATACGAAAATATTAAATCATTCCTCCAAGATATCTTTGATGTGTTAGAAAAAGTGCGCCCAAAAGTAAATACCCTCTTCATTTTAGGAGCCCCCAACTCGGGGAAAAATTTCTTCTTTGATAGCGTCATTCACCTTATGATCAATTACGGTCAAATGGGTAACTTTACACGCCACGACAACTTTCCGCTGCAGGAATGCGTGCAGCGCAGAGTGATCCTTTGGAACGAGCCTGCAGCGGAGAGTGGCAGTTTCGAAACCCTAAAAACCATCCTCGGGGGGGACACTTGCAATGTCAAGGTAAAATACATGATGGATCACATTCTACACCGAACGCCGGTGATCATATTGTCGAATAACGACATATTCCCCAAGGACCCGGCGTTCAACTCAAGGATAATTAAACATAAATGGAGGGGCGCACCGTTTCTAAGAGATCATAAATTAAAAATACACCCACTGACATTAATTTATCTGTTCTTAACGTTCGGTAATATGTCACCGCTCCCCCGAGTGATCGAAGAGATGAGGTGTATGATGTGCGATCCGGAATTCTACTCCAGTCTTGCGGATCCTTTTCAGAAAGATCTACTGAAGATACTCCGCGCATGGGAGTTACAGATGAAACAATTGAAAAGAACAGGAGAATCGCTACGCTCATGTGGTTGGAAGGATATTGCGATGCTCATGCAAAACGATACCTTCTTCACGACATTTACACGAACGGAACTGGAACCGCCGGTGAAGAATGCGCTCTGCGACTTATGGCTAAACTTAGAACAGAAACATATTGCATCGCATCGCATGGAGGACACCTCCACGTCTTACACACATGCGACTACAACAATTCCACCTGTCGCTGCTACATCACCAAAGTCCTCAGGTCCCGGTTCGGGAAATGGGTGGCTAGAACGTGCGCTAGCTCAAGAAACATTTCATTCGAAAGATGGCGTTCTATCGCAGTATATATGTCACACGGAACACGGGTCGTGCTTAAAATTAACCACTCCGGGGGAGATTGGGTTCGAGGTGGCGAAAATCGAACTCTACCCGTTCACGGAAGTGGTGAACGAGGATCGTCTCAATTGGTGGAGGGCGGCACGGACCAGAGCTCTCGTTCATTTCAATTCGCCTTTGGACCCGGATCTACAGACGATAAAACGAATACTGGACAGGAAGGCGCAGCAAATCTCGGAGATGGAAGGCACGGAAAGGAAGGTAACACGAGTGGCATCGGACAAACCGGAACGCAAAGGTCCCACAAGGGGGAACAAATCCTGAATATGATTATGACGTCAGCTGTAACTCCTTTAGCCCGCTTTTTTGACTCCCACTTATGGCTCGAATCAAACTATAAGGCCTTGTCTCCACGGCGCAACTGTTGAAGGAAGTTAGCGCAACTGTTGCGTGTTTGTTCCGCGTTTGTTGCACCAACGGAGGTTCCCTGTCTCGACACACGGCTAAGTGTTCCCGGAACTTTTAAGCGGGAATATTTGAACGACTCAATTACTTTTGAGGTTAATCAGTATCAACTTTTGTAAACAAAGCACTTGTAGAATTGATTGTCCATGTCGAGTTTTCTTATATTGTCATAATGAGTGATGCTCGGTTGAGTGCGGCATATTTTGCCTTTTTGACGAGTGCTGCAGCTGCATCCCTTTATTTTTTAAAGTGTAAAAGGGTGCCACCAAGGTGGTGGGTAAGACCATGGGCAGATTCCCGTCGAGGTACACTGGCCATGGCTCACAACGAGATGAGAAATGAGGATGTAGAAAGCTTCACCCGTTTCTTCCGGATGAAGCCAGAAGTTTTTGATCTCCTTCTCCTAAAGATCGAGGACAAGATTAGATATAATAGACAAGACCGCAACAGTTGCGCTAACTTCCTTCAACAGTTGCGCCGTAGAGACAAGGCCTAAATGGATGCCAAATGATCAGAAATCCCTCAACCAACCCTTTGGACGTCCTTTGCCGCACTGTAAAACCGCGATCACACTCAGATCAAAACACTCCTTTTATCATCCCCATCAGTATCTTGTTGCGATTCATACCCTGTTGACGTTCGTCAAACCCCTCGTCCCGCCATGTGCGGCTCTACTCCGCTCACACGATGAGTCCCTCTTCTTGCTCGGCAAGTTCATTGGCATCCGGTGCCTTGTTTTGGCGTGCAACGCTCACGTCTCCAACCAAATTTATATGATTGCGGTGTATACGTATGTTTGTTAGCATTTAAAATATCGCGAGGCATTGACATTGGGACAGCCCTCCCAGAAGCAACGAGCGAATTATGGAGGCGTCGACTTTATACTTGCCTTAGGGAAAAATCAATGAGATTACTGGAGAAGATATTTGTCAAATAACTTCCAAGCAATGTAGTGATATTACTTTATCCTACGTTTTTCCTAAATTGTTTCCCTAATCCATGTTCCCCCTCAAAGTTTTATGTTTTCCCTGATTTATGTTTCCCTCTCATAAGTATGTTTTCCTTATTCCATGTACCCGCCAGAGAGGAAGTTCAGTTGTAGTAACTGAAAATAATGTAGTGTTGAAAGTAATGTTTAAATGTGTTCGCCAAATTTATTAGAAGCCTCCCCCTTTATGAATTGGACCTATGAAAGTCCGAAAAATATGTTTCATGCGGGAATTTTCACACAAGAAGACGTTCAAGCCTTTCAACGCAGAATTGCATATCCTCTTGAAAGCAGTGCTGCGCAGTCGGCAGTAACCCGTCAGGCTATGGGCTTACCTCAGCCACATCAACCCGGAATTCAATATGAATATTTTCTTACGCAGGCCTCTCTAGAGACAATTATTCAGAGAACTAGTCGAAAAATTTGGGGAATTTTTCACGAAATTGGAACCATTATCGCAGGGTTATTCGGCATAATCGCGGTAGTGCGCTTTGTTAAAAGTATACTGGACATGTTTTTTTTTGGAAAATTGTTACATAAAGTTTTTGGGTTTGGTTGGCAAATGTGTGCATGCTGCTGTGATTCCCTCTCACAATATTTGGTTCATAATCATTATCAAAAACGGTATTCCACTCGCGTGAGACCCTCCTCAGGAGCCTTTGCTCCTCCTCAGGAGCCTTTGCTCCTCCTCAGGAGCCTTTGCTCCTCCTCAGGAGCCTTTGCTTCTCCTCAGGAGCCTTTGCTCCTCCTCAGGAGCCTTTGCTCCTCCTCAGGAGCCTTTGCTCCTCCTCAGGAGCCTTTGTTCCTCCTCAGGAGCCTTTGCTTCTCATCAGGAGCCTTTGCTCGTCCTCAGAGTGATCCCTTCGCTGGCATTTCCTTCCAGGGACCCCAACTTGAAAACCATTATGCAACCCCAAAGCCGCCGGAATACCAAGAATTTGTATGTAAACCGGCGGAAGTTTAAAATGCCTCGTCCTTCTTGTTGCAGATGTCCCTCATCACACAGGAACTGCCTGACAAGGAAAGCTTACGTCGTATGCTTCATTTTACTATTCTGTCAGAATATTACACAAATGTATCACACCCGCAATCTATACCTATTCTTATATTTATATGTTATATATTATATTTATGTGTTATATATATTATATGTTATATTTTTATGGCCCAGCTTCAGAATTACACCTACTATAAACAGAATTGTACCCAAAATTTCTACAAAATCCCGTTTTAAAAGTAACAGTTACCTTCGAAAATAAAAGTTATCATTTGTGTTTTTCTCAAGAAAGCGAGGGTAACTTAGAAATCGATCTCCTTATTACGGACCAGCATGACTTAGAGCTATTGTTAATAAAGTAGGCACTGCATGCTTTCCTTGTTGCATTCACTTACCCTGTACGCCTTTCCTCTTACAGCCACAATGAACACCGACACAATCAACCGCTTCGAAGCCATGCGCTCAGCGAATTTTCCATGGTTGTTGCTGACGGGGCTCCTAAAACCCCATGAAATTGTAAATCTGTACCTGACCATAGGTTGGGCAATAGATGAGGCCCTCCTCGCCCCGGTCGCCCTTTACAACAAACTACCAAGAAGAATCCTCCGGGATTACTCCCCAATCATTAACTGGAAGGCAGCCTCATTGTCGTACAAGTTCACATCCCGACAGCTACGCCGGTACGCGGACAGGATCGACTGGTGTCTCCTGTCCCGCCGCGATGAATTCACCCGGGAGGACCTTCTGACCTTCCGCAACAGAGTTTGCTGGTTCTGGGTGTCGTGCCATGACACCCTGGACGCAGTCACAGCTTGGCAGTGCCGCAGCCACCACCATCTAGCTAGGTACATATTTTTTCATATGGACGCCTTCACTTGGAGGCAGATCCAATACATAATGGCATTGCAAGGTCTACTCGTATTGGAACTCGCGCCTCCGGAGGAGGACAGCTGTCCTTGCCACCCAACCTTATACAGCGTGCCAATGCCGGAAGTCCTTTACGGGCAGATTGTGCCCCAATTTCGGCCACGGCATTTGGATAACCCGGAGGAATTTTTCCCCTTGCCGCCGGTGGAGGTTCTCCACCTAGACGACCCCGCTCCCGCTAACGCATAATTCGCCACCACACTTACCTTATATGCTCTTGTAGATGATTTCTTTTCTGACTGTGTCCATGCATGTAAGTACAAAAATTAATACATTTCATATCAGCTGAGTTTTTTCGTAACCTCCGGTGCATTAATCAAGAAATCGATACACAGAAAAGTGATGTATTTATTTCCTTTTTCCCTCATAATATCCCTTCATCCCTACGGATTATGGGCCAGGTTATAAAACCCCACGAAGTGATTAATCTGTTCCACGCCTCGGGACGCCTGTCCAATTGCCACATATTTTCTTCTTGAACATAACCGTCGCTTCTAAATACGCATGTAGCCCTACAGTCATTAGTTAGTAAAAAGTAGTTCTACAGTAACATATAGTATATAATACTAGTGTGATAGAGAGCTCCCCGCGTCGCCCTCTATCCCGTTAACTCATTAAAGGGCACCAAGCACGGTTCATCTGCCCGCCGTATTGACAGCCCGAATTCATTATCTCATTTTCTCCCTTACACCCCTGTAACTGCGCAGGCAGATCAACCCTCGGGCGCCCACTATAAAACACCGATTAGCGGCTGCTCCGATCGCAGTTCACAGTTCGCAGTTCAGATTTCAACCCTTAGATACTTTAGAGTTTCACCCCGACGCTAGTCGTCACCTTCGTCCAACCACGAACGGTTCTCTACCCTCTCACACGGTGAGTCCATACCCTTGCACGGCAAGACACCCAGTACTCGGTACTATATTTTAGCGTACGGCGCTCAACCGCTAAGAGTGTGTGTGCTACCTAGTAGCCTTCATTTGTAGTTCCTTCTTTATAGTTCTTCCTCTCATTTTGTAGTTCCTTCACTTGTAGTTCTCTTGTAGCTTTTTCATTATATCTTAGCCCCCTGTCTCTTGCGTTTTCCTAAAGTCTCCCTCACTCCCGTGAGAAGGTGGTTGCTGATCTTGGATTAGCCCAGATCAGCTCCCAACACTAGCTCTACAGTAAAATAAAGTATATACTAATATCCATAGTTAGTTATCCTCCTTGTGCCTAGTACTTAAATTTTTGTTGTATTTGGCTATTTTCCCTGTTTAAAAAACAAATTTCTGACATTTTGTCACGTTAGTATACATTTTGTGAGGTCAATAATTCTGCAACTGCCGATGCGTTCTTTACTCAATCCTATCTTATCCTTCTTACTTAAAGTATCTCTGCTCCGCAGCCTAGGGTTGTGCCCTCAAGCACTATGTCACAATTTAGTGACTTCGATTGAGTCTCGTTAAGGCTCCGGTTACAATTTAGTAACTACGATCGAGTTTCGTTACAACTCAAACCTTCGACGGTGTTACGCACAACACAAATAGTCCGAGTACTTTACACTCACTTCGTTTTACACGCGTTAAGTGTTAATTCGGTGGTAACACGTAAGTTACATTCGACCGCGTACGTCACACGCAAATTCGACCGCGTTCGTTACACGCAAATTCGACCGCGTTCGTTACACGCAAATCCGACCGCGTACGTTACACGCAAAACTTCAACATCTTTCAGTTTATGGGGCGCTAAGGTAAATCATCTCATCATCCTAAATTCCTTCATTCTTTCCTACGCCATTTTTCCACTCCAATTTCCATTCCAAAGTCTCTGTAATCAATTCATCTGTAAACTCAATAATTGTAACTTAAATTATCTTGTAATACCTGTGATACTAAATCCTGTTATTTTCCTCAATATACATAGCCGAAAGACTTCAAACGTACTGAGTCCGACTCTTCATTTAATTTTCCTTGAATTCCGCTACTTGAATGCGGAAATGCGCTGTTCTTGACGCACGTGTGCTCTCTTATTTCATGTTTTGTGGTGATTTGTGTTATTATTATTAGAAAATGGCAGAGAACTGGAGTAATGAGGATGCTCTAATCCTAATCGGTCAGTATGAAAAGCATCCTGTGCTATGGAATCCCAAGGATACATACTATTACGATAAAATACGTAAACTCGACGCTTGGACCGCAATTTCAAAAGCGATGAACAAGACCATCGACGATGTCAAGAAGAAGATGGAAAGTTTGAACGGCTCCTTTCGAAGGGAAAAGACCAAAGTAAAGAAGAGCAGAGGATCTGGCACTGGTGAGTTGATTTCTCAAATCATACTATGTTCAATGGCGTGGCCCCCCTCGATCCGACAATTTTGCCTAAAAGGAAGGAGTTTTCTTTCCCCGAATTTTTTTGGAATTGTTATAGCCTCCGCCCCGCTTGAGACATTTTTCATCAAAGACCCCCCCTCCCTCTCTGAGGTAACTTCTAGCTACGCCACTGCATGTGTTTGAATGAAGGTTCAAGTAAACAGAGTGAGACCCGCAAGAAACCCGCAAATCCATTAATATTGTAATTTTTCTCCAACAAATTAACAACAATCAGACAAAAAAATACAATGTGAAATTAAGTTTCAACTTGCGCGAGAGACTGACGCACAGGCGGAGCGAGAACGAACAACCCGCGCAGAGTATTCGGCGCGGGTTATTCGTTGGTTTCGTAAAATCACTACGCACAGCCCGCACCGCATGAGCATCCGCACGTATGCTCGTTCGCTGTTCGGTGCGCCCGCGCTCAGCAGTGAATACGCACCTTTACCGAAGCGGCCCGTCGCAGCCAGCAGGGATCGTCGCTGCACAATTTCCTCACTGCCGCCAGCCATCCCCTCCCCTCCCCCCTTGCGTGCCCGTGTCAATTGATTATCACCCTTCTTACTGTCATTACTTATTCTCTTCCTTATTCTTGTACTTGATTGCCATCCCTTACTCTTGTTATTGATTGTAGCCCTTTCTTGCGTATCAGGAAGATTCGTCAGGGATTTGTAATTGGACGTATTCATGCTACAAGAAACTATGTTGCATGTAAAACAGATGGGCGTAGTTCCTTCTAGCATGAATAATTTCAATTTTAATACTTTTTTTGCGTTACCTAAATTTAAAGGGAAACATGATGGTGTCAGTAAAAAGGGAGCCAATACCTGAAGAGTTTTGACCGGACGTAGAGGTAGACTCTAAGCGAAGCGTGGAGGATTCTTGCCATTAAGTATGGTCTTAATTCGTAGGGGTGCAGAAGAAAGTTCTTCGGCCCACGCAATTTAGAGCGATCAGGGATGCAGCCTACGCACTGTGACATTGCGCCCCTGCAGTAATTTTCATAAAAAAATAGAGCGTTCGCAGTAATTTCTTAAAAATTAATCGTAGTCGCGTTGATTCTCTTAAAAATTCAGTGATTTTGCACTAGTTTTGTAAGAAAGAAGCACCCTGGTCACAAGTTTTTGTTAAAATCAGTTCATTGAGTGTTCACACCTGATGATAATAATAATACTAATAGAAAATTATGCTCAAACATGGATGTTAAACCTAGACCAAGTACCCACAGTTCTCAAAGAAATAAAACGATGTATTCTTGGGCTAAATCAGTCACATCTTCAAAGGCACAATCTCTTGTTATATTCAGCGAACCTCGCTTTAGTAACGATCGCGGGAAGCCCCTGCAAAACTGCAATGATACTTCAAGCGTAGCACCATCTCCCCGAGCGAGCGAGCCGCGGAATCCGATATCTAGCCTCGCTCTCGGCTCAGACTCGCGGATCGCACTTTGAGCGCGAACACAACTTCGGAGGGTGCACGCAAAAACGATTAATTTCCATCATAAAAAATCAGCAGCTGATATAATTCAACGCAGAATTCCATTTTTATCGAGATTTTATTCCTGAGGTATCATTTTGAAAAGTTACTAGTTAGAAAGTTTACTTGGTAACTTACTCACTTACCTTAGGGCTGCCCAAACACAATTTTTGCCCAAATAAAAACTTAAAAGACAGGCCTTTGACGTGTAAGTTAAGTTATCTCGGCTCAGCTATTCTTCCGAGGCACGAGGACTGGCACGCGGACTGATCTAAATGTCAGCGTCACCGCTCCGCTCTTTGACCCGCCGTCCGCTGACGTCTGCTGACTTGCAAGCCACGCGCTCGCCTGCCGCGTTGCCCGTCGGCAACCTTTCCATCTAGTGCATCTCTC